GATAAAATTTACATTAGATTATAGCTATATTTAAGAATTTATTACCCACTAAATTCGTGAAAATTAAAAGTACTTAGCATATTTTTATATATTTTCAAATATTATTAGTTATTAGACAATAATCATAACATTATAAATACCTAAAAAATCATTTAGTGGTTACATTTGAGATAATTAATGTTTTTTACATATACTTGTTGATATAGAGAGTTCGAGATAATTGATTTTTATTCATATATATATATATATATATATATATATATATATTATATTATTCTGCTTCTTTAAATTTATTTTTAATGTAGTCATTAAATTAAAAAATAGATCTTTCCTCACAAAATCACATATGCGTTTGAATATTTTCATAATTTATTTTTAATGCGGTCATTAAATTAAAAAATAGATATTTTCTTACAAAATCACATGCATTTGAATATTTTAATAATTTTTATGCTGGAGACAAGTTAATAAAAATGATTAGATATAAAAAAATATAATGACACGTTATTTAAATCTCTACACAATCCATTCTTTAGCAAGATAACTGCAAAACTATCACATATCCCAATTCCATAAATTGATCCGTAATTATCGTTTCAAACAATTACTTATTCCTATTTATTTTTATAAATCTACTATAATTTAATAGCAGACTAACTATTTTGAAAAAAATTAAATTAAACATTCAAAGAAAGCAATCACATGCAGATTTTTTTGGATACATTACATCTTATCTTAACTTACATATAATTATATTGGTAACAACAGTTTTGCTATAGAGCCATCGGATGGCTCCATAGAATTTTTGTTGATAACAAACTCTTCATTATCTTTTGGAAATAATTCAACATTATTCCACATTATTCCCTTTATCATTGTCTCCCTTCAAACTCAATATATATATTCATCGTCGGCTACCTGTAGTCCACAGCCGGCTAGGTTGCGTCCATGGCTTGCACGAGGGGCCGGATTACGGCTACGGCTGACAGAGGTCAACGGGCATACATTATCGGACAGATGCGGCGTCGGAAGTTGACGGCTGAAGGCTGGCAATTTTTGGTCGTGCATCGGAAAGTCGGGGAAAAATTGATGCGGCGTCGGACGCTGATGGCTGAAAGTTATGGCTGAAGGTTGTGTGTTTTTGGTCGTGCATCGGGAAGTATGGACAATTGTACGAAGTCTCAGGCGGCTGATGATGGTCTGATTGGTAAAGTTTTGGCTCGAAATCGACGGCCGAAGGATGACCATACTGAAGGGTCAACGAAGCTTAAAGATATGAGGTCGTCGATGCTGGTGCTGGTTGTTCCTGACTGCTGGACGAAGGTTGTTGATGCTTGGACGTTGCAATGATGCTGTTGACGGGCGGTTGGTAACAAACATGGCAAGATGACGGGCTGAACGAGTGAGATATCTCGATTGTTTTGCGTGCAATGCTGGTCGGACTAGAGTGGATGTTGAAGGCGATGAATGGTCGCACTCTTTGCTGGTGAAGACAATCGAATATTTTGAGCGCTAGCGATAAATTTTCGAACGACGGTTCATTTTTTCTTGGTTGGATTTTGCATATGAAGAATGAGACGTTCGTGAATTGTTGAGCGAAATTTTGTTGGATGTGAATTGCGCACTTGTGAAAATACCAACAGAATACAATAATTTTTGGCTGGACTCGGGCTGGTTGCACGGGCTTCTGGCGGTTGATCTGAGCTGTTGGGCTATGGCAGATCGGACGAGAATATTTTTATTTTTGTTTCCATAATTATATGTTAAATTCAATTAATTACATTTAAAATAAGTACTTCAATATGTTTTAAGTTATGCGCCCACCGTGCATCGCACGGGTACATACTAGTTTAGAGTATCATGTTTAAAAGTTTGCGATAGAATAGGTATATTGGTGCTTACAAAAAATATATTTTGGAGATACTAAGCAAAAATAACAATTTATATTTTCCTTGTGCATTCTAATACAAATACAATTGCAATTTACAATATTATATTTTGATCGTTCAAATTATGTGATACCATTTACTTTTTTGCTATAGAAGATTTTTATTGATTAGTAATAAATTAGACACATGTTGCATAGAAATAAATGGAATAGCCAAAATATATTTCAAAATACTTTTTAAAGAAGTATAAAATCTAAAAAAATACATAAAAATGGTTATAGACAAACAAAAAATTATACTCCCTCCTTCTTTTCATAAGTGACGATTTGAGAAGTTGCACGGTAATTAAGAATAATTTTTTGTCAATAATAACCCTCATTAATAGATATGTTAAATGGTCCTTGGCCCGACGGGCCGGCCCGTTTAGCCCGGAAAAAAACAGGGTTAGGTCCTTTTATTAGTAGCACATTTAAATCAGGGCTTTTTAGGCCCGGACCGTTTAGCCCAAAGCCCGCTAGGGCTAGCCCGGAACCCGCTAGGGCTAACCCGAAACCCGCTAGGGCTGGCCCGTTTAACTAGGGTTGGGCGGTATAAATGTTTGCATTAAGTAAGTAATATGCTCTTAGATTTCTTGTATATTACAGTTTTGCTATTCCACTTCACATGTAAGTATGAGTTGTAATGGATTATTATGATTTTGAAAGATAAATATTAACAATTTTGTTATTGTATAAAATACCAAAATATTTAAGCCAATCAGAAGGACTAATAGGAAACACATGAAACATAGTGATAAACGATAAATAGTAAATAGTCGTTGAAAACAATTGTTAACTAGCCACTGTAATTTTTTTTATATATTTTACTCTTTTTATTTTTATTTTTTATATATTATTATTATTATTATTATTATTATTATTATTATTATTATTATTATTATAGCCCGCATAGCCCGTTTAGCCCGAAGCCCGCTAGAGTTAGGGTTAGGTCCTTTCTTTAGTAGTCCGTTTAAATCTGGGCTTTTTAGGCCCGGACCGTTTAGCCCGAAGCCCGCTAGGGCTAACCCGAAACCGCTAGGGCTAGCCCGTTTAACATCTCTACTCATTAATGAGGATAGAGATGGATGTTTTGAGAAAAAATGAAGAGTGAATATGAAAAGACAAATATGTACAAAAGATCCAAAACGTCATTTATTTGTTTAATTGTTGATAAAGCCAAAATGACATTTATAAGAAAAAGGAGGTAGTATAAAGAGGAATTGACACCCCATACTATCAAATATAGTTTATATTACATATTTACACCTCATACTATCAAATATAGTTTATATTACATATTTACACCCCATTAATAGTTATTTGCAAATATACCAAATCACTCAATATATTTGCACATATACCTTCTTCAAAATCAATCCAACTCTGCGTACTTAAATTAATCAACCCTAATAGAGTCACACACAACAAAAACTAATCNACCGATCAAAAAAAAAAAAAAAAAGAAAGAAAAGAAAAAGAATACACGAATCACGTAAGTAGCTTAATCTATCGAGAGGAACGATCCCTACCGGATCGGACATGTAACCAGTCTTCTCCGGGAAAGACGACTGGGCTTTGTAACCGCCATAGACTGTGATCAGGAAAACTTTCATTTGCTGCTCTGAGCACTTACGATTGATCGATGAATTGCCCGCAACCATCCAATCCCGAGGCAAAGGGGAAATCTGACTTCATCTGCAGATGATACATACGGCGATTTATTAGGCTTTCTGAAAGTAATCAAAATCCAATACAATTCACAAACATCATGTAATTGGCCTATTAACCAGATCGGATCCTATAAACCCAGCCCGCTCATTCTTGGTCTCTTTGTGGTGCTTTGACGTTTGAATGCATGTAAGCTGTTTGATAATATGTCACAGAGACTTTTTTTTTTTCAGTGAACGGTTGTTTAGTGATTTCTTTAGCTTTTGTTTTGGTTTTTGAGGTGTATTAGAGTTTTGGACTGTGTGTAGATCGGTCAATACATTGAAATCAGCAAACTTTGGATTGGAGTCGCCGGTATTATTTACAGTTTTTTCTGATAAAGGTGATGATGATAACGAAGTATAGTTTCATTATACAAATTAGTTTATAATCAGTATATGTACAGTATATGTATAGTATATGTACAGTATACGTACATCTTAGGGATATGTACAATATATGTACATCTTAGTTTATGCTTAGTTTGTGAATGAATGTTTGTTTTTTATGTTTTCAATTCTTTATTTATAGTTTATGTTTGGTATATTAAAAGATTTTTTTGTTGAAAACGAATTTGACAAAACATAAACTGATTTTTTTGTGTGTGTATATGTACGGTTTATATTCAGTATATTTTCGGTATATGATAAAGAAAATTATCGCGAGACATAATTTTTATGTATAAAATCAGTTTATATTCAACATAAACTATTTTTTTGTTGTTGTTGTTGTTGGTATATGTATGATTTATATGAAGTAACCTGTTATAATATGTTTATAAACTATATATATATACTTTTATGTATAAAAGTAAAAAAAAAACAGGAAGACATAATTTTTTTGATGGGAAACATGTTTTTCATTGCAACAAATAATGAATATATACTAACATAAACCCAATATATACTACCTGACAACTGCGTGAATTAAGGAATTCAAGTTACGCAAATTTTCAGTTATTTATTTTCATCTCTCTATTCATCATGCGCATAAAAAGGGGGATGAAGGCATTAATATAGTTAAATAAGGTCTTTTAGGTAGAGACATAATTATTTCAACAATTAATTTAAAATCACATAGCATAAATAAAAATTTCCCTAGTATAAAATACTAGGGCCTGGGCCCGCACGGCGATTAGCCTCCTAATATATTATATTATATCTTTTATATATTATATAAAAAAGAGTTTGAAACAAAATATTAAATTTTTATTCTTCACATATTGTTTCTGTTTTTGAAACGTTGCATTGGCATGGTTGTATTGACATTTTTGCCCTTAATATTTGATTTTTTTTCATTCCTAGCCCATTGCTTCCTCGATTGATATTTTTCCCAATTCTTTTTGGTTCCCAATTGCATACCCTAGAACTCACACATACCTCAAAAGACGCCTCGGGTGCAAATCGGAGAAAGCAAAACAAATATTCTGGCTTCACTTGAACCAGGACGACGACCTCAACTCAGCTGGGAAGATGGTAGCCTGCTACGTGGTTCCCTACCCAAAGCCGCCCAGTACTATACACCTCGCATGACGCTGTGCTATGTGCTGTGCGCAAAAATATATCTGAAGGTGAGAGTTTCATTTTAATTGGTATCATTCCATTTTTGTGTTTTGTAATCATGATCTATAGACTCACGTTATACTTTTCAATAAGAGGATTATGCCATTTGCAGTGAATTTTTTAATAGAGGATCTTATATGTTATCTGGTTAATCACTTTCATTGTTGTTATCCAGTCACTCTGTTGTTGATCACCGCGCCATTTAGTCTTTCTTTCTTTCTTTTTTTAACCTGTTATATAAGATTTTGCTGTTGACAATGGATTATTAACTCTTTTTTCGGGCGTTAATGAAGGTTTATCTGAATTTTATTTACTGTCAATAAAATTACAATATTTAAAAAAAATGTGCATGTTCAGAAGGATTCGTTGTTAGATACTAGCAAGTTTTTCTTTCAAATTGTGTTTTGTATGCAAGGGTCAATTTTGATAGCATTCTGATTTGTTTTACTAGCATTTTGGAATATGTTGAGCTAAAGCTAAAGTCCTTGGTCGTTGATTTGGACAGTGTACTATAAAGGCTCTTCCTAAAATAAATTATATATAAATCTGAGGTTATAGGTTAACGATGTATTGATCTGGAGAGGATTTTCGTTGCATTATATATTTTATGTGTGTTACTGTATGCGTTGGCATAGTTTTGAGGAAACCCTATTGAAATCTTTAAATATTTGGGGGTCTTATTTGCACAACACATTATGTGTAGCTTACTTTAATATACCTAAGCAGTCTTCTTTATACAACATATGTTTCCAGTTGTGTGTATCATATTACAAATGCTCGATGTGTGCAATATTTATATTTACCGAGGCAAACAAATAAGTAGATTTCCTTCTCCAATTTTATTGCAAATGCGAAATACTTCTTTTCTTTCTTTTTTTTTCCTTATCATTTACTGTATTGTTGGAGTCAAGGTTTGTTCAAATTGCTTGTTTATCCTACACAACATGCCAAGTTGATTAACTATTTTTTTAACTTGCTGCTCCTTGTTTTAGTTTTCTCTGATATGCCACTTAGTTTTAAATTTGCTTTACCTTTGATTGAAGTTCCTTGAGAGAACTATGTTGTATTGTTTCTTTAGATTAGAATGCCTCTCTTTATATCTGTGTGTTTGTATAGTTAACCTTGATCTATGACATTATACTGCCTAGCTAAGGATATTTCTATAAATTATAAAGGAAACTGAAGGCACCGAAACTTAACAGATTAAGATGATAAAATCCAAAATGCAAGCAACTTAGGAGCGGCTATTCAGAATAAACTGATGTACCTCTTTCAGTGATAATTCTTGCAATCAACTTCTTCTCCCCTGGTTTAACCACCACCAAAGCTCCAACATTGTGCTGGGTCATCTGCATTTGAAGAAAAAAAACAAGGGAAAAAGAAAATAAAAGTGAAAAATGATCATGATCATATCTCATTTTCATCTTTCGCATAAAAAATTACGTAGGCAAACATGAAGATTTACGGTGGGGCATATAGGGGGAACAGGCAAACAAACAACACCTGGATACTGTGCAAGCTGACACTTCTTTTGACTTCTTTTTATGTATATAGTAAGTGTTATGCTAGGGATGTTATGTGTGACACTTAGTTTTATGTATATAGTAACTGTCGTCATGCTAGGAATGTTAGGGAGTCGCTGCTTTTTTTAAGTATGATTAAAATGTCTTGTTGGGAATGTTTGAGATTTAAAAACATCTACTTTAATGTACAGGAGATATATTTATATTTTGTGCATGACATCAATTATCTTATGCTCTTGATGTATATAGGTCGTTTTTATGAACACATGTTCATATTTCTACATTCAACTTCATATTCATTTATTTGTTTAAATGTCAAATTAACTAACAACATTTAACCGTGGGCCTCGCCGTGCTTTGCACGGCGGGTTCTTCCCTAGTATTATGTTGTAGCACAAATTATTATTTTTACCGAGTACCGAATCGAAGGATTCGTTCCCCGAGTCGATCTCTCAAGGAAGGCGTTTCGGAATTTAGCTTCGGTATTGATTTCACACAAAAAGAAAATAAATCCTAAACACACTAATCTAATCAGATGGCAGATTGGATGAATTATTAACTAAGAAATAAAATAAAACAATAATCTACCTAAAAATATAAACGGAACAAAGATAGAAAAGCTAGGAATTCGGAGATAATTTATTCAAGTTCTTAGCAAAAACCGGGCAATCAATTGTCCGGTTCGAGATTGACACTCTCGCTTAAACATCTAGAGGTTCGCTCCCAATAACTCTTCGTAACAAGGGATTGAACATAGACGAACAAGCTCGAGCATACAACACAAGCCAATTATCCCAATCCCAATAACTTTTCGTAACAAGGGACGGGTCATTGACAAGCACGTATTTCAATCTCAACTCATAGATTATTCAGTTACGAAATTATCTTTCTCATGCAAGCCTAGGTCTACGACTTCTCCCCTTTCGGTTCTAAAAGTCACTAATTAACTAGAAGGTGATTAATCAACTAATCATATAGAATTGACAAACCCTAACTCGACAAATTAACATTCAATTGTTTCCAATCGCAAGATCGAAGTGTCAATCTTCGATTATACCAATCAATCAAGCACAAATTCATCAATTCTGAATTATATCAACTCACATAAGCATGAACAAATCAAGCCCGACAAATACGAATCAAACAAGAATAATCATCCCCTATCCCTAGCAGAAGGAATTAGCTACTCATCACAAATTCAACATCAACATTCATATCAAGAAAAGCCATAAGATTCATCAATGAAATGAAAGAGAAGCTTACAATTAATAACAAATCCAATGTCGAAAAACAACGAGCAATCCAAATCCAAGGGTAAAATCTTGGAGTTTTCACTATCTAAGATCAAAACTAAGAGAAAAGATGAGAGAAATATGTTTTGCCATGAAGAAAAAACGAGTACAAAGTCTGAGAGTACTGAAAATATGCCCTAGGTTCGAACTAGTAGCCTTCCCAATTCAAAACCCACAAAAAACGCGATTAGTTAAAAATAGACCTTAGCGGCGCTAACCCCTTAGCGCCGCTAACCCCCTTTTATTTTGCTGTGAAGTCTCTGGCGTCGCTAGCACCTCGCTAAGCCAAACCGCCGCTAGTTTTCACACCCTTAGCGCCGCTAACCCCTTAGCTGCACTAGGGCCTGGGCAGCTTCCGATTTTTGGTTTTCTGGGCTCGTGAGCTCTCGACTAGCATCTCTCGGGTCTTTCCCGAGATAGAAACTTAATCCTTTGCTGCCTGGTGGCACGAACTAGGATGAAACACCTGGAAACCTGAACGACCTGAAACCATCAAAACCGGACAAACACGAAAAGCAGGAAAAATAGGAAGAAAAACAAAGAAAACACGAAACACACCTGAATAACACTAAACCACGAGAAACGACTCAGAGGACTGGAGAAACCTAAGAAACAACCTAAAACGGGGGAAAACACATGCAAAACATAGACAAAAATAGCAACAAAAATGGGACAAACATATTATATATATAGGTGAAATTAGGAATTAGTAGGGTTTCTTTAGAATATCTCGCTCCCGCAGTCGCATCCCTCTCACTCCCTCACCTGCTCTGCTCACCCACACGCAGTCACGCCTCCAGCCTCTCCCAAGTTCTCACCTCTGAGTCCGACGCCTCGACGGCAGACAGTGAGTCCGACGCCGCGCCGCGCCTCGCCTCGTCTCCGACGCCAAAGCTCACAGGTGCTAGTGATCGACACCCCAGGTACAATTACCCTAAATATCGATTAATTTAGTATTATCTCTATGCAACTTTGATGTGTTTGAATTTGGAACAAAACTTGAAAAAAAAAGAAAAACTCAGGATTGTTTGATATTTCTGATGTGCCCGAGTTTATTGGGAAGGAAATTGTTCAGTGCATTAATATGGCCAAGGATGGTATACTTGCTGTTCTTGTTGTCCTATCTGTGAGGTGTCATTTTTTCGAGAGAAGGAAGAGGCTGCCTCGCAGAAATACTTTGGTGGCAAAATTAGTGATGATATGGTGTGGTCTTCACTGGCGGTGATGACCTGGAAGAAAACAATGAAACTAGTGCTTAGAAGTTTCTTGAACGCGTACTTAGAAGTTCAATTTTGTGAAAATTGTATATTGTAAACGCTTAAATTTTGTGAAAATTCAGTCCATAAAATTCCAGTTGGCCACAGGTCAGAAACTCGGGCCAGGTCCGGGTCCACAGGTACCCGGCCCGACCTAGCCCATTGCCATCCATAATATAGCGATGTTTTTTAACAAATAGACAAATGAGCAGATTTGCATAACACAGGGATTTGGTGCACGGGCACAGCAAATCTGATTCACAGCAAAGGCAGAGCCCTCATTCCCCCAATTTCGATTCTCATCAGTGTTTGCCCTAAAAATCAAATTGCAGCTGCTTCTTTTGAGGAGAACACATGCCCAAGTACAGAGACGAGCCTCCTGCGGTTCGCGTTTACACAGTTTGCGATGAGTCCAAGTTTGTATTCGTCTCTTATCTTCACCCTCATTTTGTAATTTTCGTTTACGATTGGGGTCGTAACAGCTTATTTGATTCTTTATTTATGCTGCAGATACCTAATTGTGAGGAATGTTCCCTCACTGGGTTGTGCCGATGAGCTCTTGAAGCTTTTCTCCACTTATGGCAAAGTTGACGAGTAAGTCATTCCATAATTTTCATATGTATATGACATCTATGTATATAACATCAACTTATATAGATTTCTTTGGGAACAGTTTTGTGTGTGGTTTGAATTGATTTTATATGCATTTTTCTTTTATTTACCTAATAATTCAAAAGGTAGTGCGATTGATGTGTGGCAAATGAATTGCACTGTTTGGTCTTTTGTGTAGCAACCTTGAGCTGGATTGGGTTTCTTTATGTGATCTGTGAATTAAATTACCACTCGAATGTTGTTCTTAAGTTTTCTTTTAGATGTAAGCCGATGGATGCTGAGGACTGTGAGGCGTACACTGATGTTTACTGGATCAAGTTCCATCAGGTCAACAATTCCAGGTGATTGTGGCTCCCATAGTGTGACTTTTCTTGGATATTTAGTTGCTTCTTTATTCTCTTTGAGTGGGTCCTACCAAAAATAAAAAATTAAGTGTGACCCCACTCCATGTGAGTGTTATGTACACATCTATGTACATTTATTATGTACTGGTAGCATTTTTCCAGAAAAAATATATATCATGTTCTGTCTTGGTGCTTAGTGTGTTATGTGGGTTACAGGTTGTGTGCTGTTCTTGAAATGCTTTTGGGATTCTCAGAGGCTTGATTTTTTAAATTTTAAATGTATATATAATATATATATTATTTTTTTTTTTGCTGTTGATGATAGATTTGCCAAAAGGAAGTTAGACGAGTCTGTTTTTCTAGGAAACAGATTAAAAGTGTCATATGCGCCTGAATATGAGAGCTTATCCGATACAAAAGAGAAGCTAGAAGGGCGGAGGAAGGAAGTTGTAGCACGACTAAACTGTAAGTCCACAGTAACATTTAAGAGAGGATTAACAATTGAAAAATAAAGCTCTTTTGTTTTACACCAATTACCATTCATTTTGATTTTTCAAAATGCGCCACTACTGCGGTTTATATGTTTCCTGATANATTCAACCAAAAATTCATTTGTAATCATTTTATTTCAGCTAAAAGATATAAAGGAGGTCCTTCAGATTACACTCCTTCAGTTTCCACTCATTTGCCCAAGGATGCATTTCCACCATCGCGTTCCTTAGTTTCAAGGTATTTGTAGGTACACTGATTAATGATAGTTGTATTATGATTTCCTTGTTTCACCACCGTAGAAAATTTGCTTTTTCTTTTTCCCGTTTCGTAGGCAGTCGAGTGAGTTACAAGCTGCTGCAAGTGGACATACATCCTCTGACCTATCTGCTTCCTCTCATAAGGTTTGCTTATGACTACTTTTTTCCGAGTTATATACAAGTGAAAAGTTCGTTTAATGACGAGAAATAAGGGGAATGTAAAGTGAACAAGTGAATGGCAAAAGAAGAATAATATGGGAAATAATACGTGAAATGTTATTGAATAAGGAGATCTGATTCCATCTCATCTACTGATGATTGATTGAATGTGAAGTTTTTTCCGATTCTGTATTCTCTTGCTGAACACATTTTTCTTTCCTATAGCTGATAAAACTTTTTTTTTTCAATTGAATGATGTCAGGAATATTTCCCCTCCGAGTCTATGAATCAAACGGTTCATTTGGTGAGAGAGAAACTGAATAAGGTGAAGATGTTCAGCATCTTTGATTTCCTCCTCTTTCTTTCTCTCTCTCTCTCTCTCTCTCTCTCTCTCTCTCTCTCTCTCTTTTTTATCTTTTTTCTTGGGTGTCCATTTAAAGCTTATTTTGTGCTGAAGTGTCATTTTTACTGGATTTAGATACAATCAAGTTCAGATCACACAGAAGCTGGTTCTTCCAAAAGGACGCGCGTCGACAATAGAAGAAGAATTTAAGTTGGTCATAAAAAACGGTACACAGGTTCTTCAGACTAGTATCCGAGTACTTCTATGATTGCGTTTGCTGAGTTTTTCCCTCTTTTGGTTAGCTTAGATGGTCAAAGTTTTTGTGGACTTAAGTGTTAAAAACTCTGTTCCGAAAATCAGCCTAGGAAGTGCCTAGACACTAGGCGGCGCACGATTTTTCTTAGGCGGTCATTCTAGACACTCAGACGATTAGACAGCGTCTACGCAGACTAGGCTGTCATTCTAGGCGCTCGGACGACTAGACGACATCTACGCAGACTAGGCAGTTGTGAAGTTAGTCTATTAGCCCAGCCCATATTTTTTTTAAAAAAAGCTATTTTTTAAATAATTAAAATATTTTATTATTTATTCATGAACTATACAATAATTATATAACAAATAATAATAATAATAATATTAAAATTAATACAATAATTATCAATTTATAGAATTTGATTTATCTTTATATTTGATCATAGTAAATTAAATTTTATACGATATATCTTATAAATTATGCATGATAATAAAATAAACAAATTTTATTAATATTTTTACGACCACGCCTAGGCGCCGCCTTATCCCGCTTAGGTGCCCTAGGTGCTAGGCCCTAGCCTGCCGCGTGGCGAGCGTCTAGCGCCATTTAGAACATTGGTTAAAAATATATAAGGATTAGGTGATTGTAATATTTGTGTATTGGCTTCAACACACGCACGCGCGCACACACACACATATGGACATTGAGTTTTTGTTTATTGAGCAGCCAACAAAGAATTACCAATCCACACTACATGATATACTCCCTCCTATTTTTAATAAGTGTCGTTTTGAGAAGTTGCACAGTAATTAAAGAATTTTATTTTGCCAATAATAACCCTCATTAATGAGGATAGAGATGGATGTTTTGAGAAAAGATGTAGAATGAATATGAAAAGACGTAGTGTATTTATTAGCTAGATGAGGGTAATAATGAAAAAATTTGTACAAAAGATCCAAAACGTCATTTATTTAGTTAATTGTTGATAAAGCCAAAATGACATTTAAAAAAAAAAAAAAAAAAATAGGAGGTAGTATAATTTTGAACGTGTTGAGCTAAATGGTATATGCTCACACGCTTGATAAGCTTATTTGTCATAGATCCTTGCTTTGTGTTAACATGCATATTGGCTTGGTTGCACTCACCAGCCTACTAGCTTGAGAATTACCATATAATAATTTTTTGTTCTTTTTTTCTCTCCACAAATCACACATAATTCTTTCCATTATTCTCTCAATTGTGGATTTTTTTTCATGGATTATTGTCAGTTCACCTGCATCTTTCAAATTTATGGATTTTCTAGAATGGTAAAAGATTATTGGGGCTTGATACTGGTGATGATTGCTGATTACTTTTGTTCAATGTAGTTAAATGATTTTTCTAAAACAACAGTGATTTGTAGTCCTCTACTGAAAAACTCACGTTTCACATGAAATTATTGTTAAAGTGCCTGCAACTTGGATTTTTGAAGCAAAAGCGTTTTTATATGCTCCAAGCTTGTGAAGTGATCATTTGGCCTTTCCGTGTTTTTACCCACTGCCGTTTAGATTTCATCTTGTGTCTTTAGCAAAAAAACCTGCTTGGTTTTTCTTCATACCTAATATCTGCAATGGCTGAATCTCATATAGTGGGTCGATTATTTAGAAACATATATATGAACACATCAACAGCTCTTTGCGTGCAATTTTTAAACCTGCTCTGTTTTTCTTCATACCTAATTCCCAATGAGTGAGTGGATTTTGAAACATATATACGAACACATCAACAGCTCTTCACACGCAATTTTTTAATTCACATATTTTTTTTTTCTTTTTTCTTTTTTAATCCTCAGACCACATTGAGATGCAGTTCAGTGTGCCGTTAAGTCCACGAACAAGATTCCCCAACACCCGACCTATTCAAGAAAATGACAGTGGTTGCTTAGATTTGTTTTGCTTCCTAATTACCTTTCTGTGTTATGGTTTTGTTGCAATTATTCCCTTTTATGGTAAGAGGATTTTTCCGGTCATTGTTGTCTTTGCGAGTGATATATGACATGACCAGCAAGTAGTGGATTTTCATGTTGGCATTTGATACAAACTGTAAATATTTCAGCATCCCGTTTCTTGATAGAGGGATGCGAAACTTCAGTTATTTTCTTAGTCGATGCATTATGAGCAAAGAATGTATTAATCTTTGTCATGCCAAACATGAACATGCCAGGATAATATCATTGAGCCTAAAATTCAAGGGTGCATTATTTATTTAAAAAAAAACAAAAATCTGTGGAAAAAAACAAAAAAAAAAAGTTGTGGAAATGTATAAAACAGCCGGATTTTCAGAATCCGTTTTTCTAATTAAATTTTTAATTGAAAAACGGATTCTCACAATCCGTTTTTAATTTTGATTTTTTTTTTATGATAACGGTCGAATTTAATAATAATAATACATCCACTGACTAAAACGGATTTTCAAAATCCGTTTTTCATTTAAAAACGAGTAAAACGGATTTTGAAAATCCGTTTTTATGTTGATAAATATGACTCGTTCTCAATTTCCTCTCCCATTTCTCCTCTCCCATTTC